GGAACAAAACCAAGAATTTTTCTGTACGAGTGGATTGATTCTGTCTTTCCATTTATAAAAATTGAACCAGTTAAGGTGCATCCAACAGTTTTTCCAGCTAAAGCTGAAAGAAAAGTAGTTTTTCCTGCTCCAGAAGGGCCCATGACAGCAGTAACACGCCCAGGCATGACCTTCCCATTGATTGACCTCAAAAGATGTTTGTTTTTCCCTTTTAAAGTAACAGTTAAGTCTCTGAAAGCAATCTCTATTCTTGGCCTTTTCCTGACTTCTTTATTTGTAGCCAAGGAAATTACACCCGAGAAGGTAAGACTTTTATTCTGCTGCTGCTGAGCCTTCTCTTTTTCAAGTTGTGCATATGCATACCTGAACATTTGGCTTTGTGTATGAGCTTGTTTCCCTTTTGGCACCCTAGTTTTCAAATTTTTATCCTTGATCTCTGATTCAAAGGATCCAGAATTATCAAAACCAATGTCCTTCATCATCTTCATGTATGGACTTGGTTCACTTTCAGTTCCATCAGATGAGGCAGCTGATTGCATAGACATCATAGAATTAGATGCATGCATATCACCATCTTGATCATTTTCTGTTTCATTTAAAACTGTGACAGCTTTATTGCGAGAAAGTTTGAGTGAAATTTGAGAATGTAATTCAATTGCATGCTTTTTAACAGCATCCTTTGCAGATTTCCACCTTGCCTGTGCTTGTACCCTCTCCTTTACACTTTTTGCAGCTGATTCCCTGGATCTAGCACGTCTCCTTTCCCGAATGGTAATTATTTGGTCCGAACAGTTGTAAATTATGAGGAGAACGGCAGATAAAGCAACCTGAAGCAAAATGACAAAAGAAAAAGTATAATGGTAGGAACCAAGTTAAAACTCATAGGTTTTCAAAAAAAAAAAAAGAAGTTAAAACTCATAGTATACAAACTTTTACACAATTAGTGTCCACTCTTCTGGAACAGCAACAATTAGTTTTAACATATACACTGATGTAGGAATAGGAGACTCACTATAAGCATCACTCCATATGCATGCATATTTTGACTTGAAGTATTGGGATCACATGAAGTCAACTTGAAACATCCTGCATATTCATCGAGAACACCAGATCTTCCATGAATAAGTCAACAATGTAGAAGAAAAGCTATTCCAAACTCTATGGATTTGGTAAAGGAAAATGAATCAACTAGTCACTAGGAGCGAAAAGATTTTAGGTCACTATACCCTATTGGACATTCTTACTATAATTCAACTGACTTACGTTTCTCAGCTGTAGAACCAGTAGGGCAGTAATTCCTGAAAATTCAAGATAAAGAATTAGCATCACTTCCTACCAAAAAAAGAATTAGCATCACTATAACAAATGGTGGCACCAAATTTTAAAGTAAAAATAAATAGATAAATAAATAAGCACACATCTTCCCAGTGGCAAGAATTGCAAATCTGATTAACTGATCAATACCAACCTGATTCTTGAATTTTTTTATTTTTTTTTTATTTTTTTTTTCCTTTTTTGGGTGAGAGAATTTCTTAAAACAAACTAAACACTGTTATTGGAAGACTCAGATAGAAATCAATACCCACTACTGCAAGGAATCTTCTCAGTGTTTGATGGACAGTAGGATCCTGCTGAACAGAATACTTCTGAGCTACTAGTAACATCCGCCCAAATATTTGCCCCACCACAAGTATGACTTGACTGTCTATGAGGTAACTGGTAGTTATATCTGAAGTCACAGATCAATTAACATGTTACAAAAAATAATGAAGTAAATAGATAAGAAGCGACATTGTACAAAGTATCAAACTTACGGTTCACATACTCCAGTATTGTTATTGAGTCTTGCAAGTGGGCAATAGGAGCCTAAAGGGCAGGCTTCAAAAGATTCCAGAAAGTTTTAGAGATTGTTAACTCTAATTTACAGTCAAAAAGTATATATTCCAAAAGATTGTTATCTTTTAAATCACCAAGTAGTCAAAAACACACATGAACAGAAAGTGATGTTTTGAAGACATTTACATAGTTAAATTAACAAATTTTAATACAATAATATATCTACTTGTAGAGTCAAATGAAATCTCTAGTATTAAGTAGTACAAGATAACCTAAATATAGCATTAAGGTGCAGTCATATGTTTAGACAAGACAACAGTTAGGATAGCAAGGAAAGTTAAGCAAATGCCCTCAAAGGGAAGGGCTGTTGCCAGCATGCTACACTTCGAGTTGGAAACATATTGAACATTCAGGAATAAAGACAATTTGGGTTTGTTGACACAAAGGAAAGTCACTCAAGGACAGAAACATCGGCTTCTGGTATACTTACGTATCATACAAGTAATGCCATGGGGACAGAAAAATCCCTCGCAACAAGGCTGACAGTCAGTGGTTCTGGCAGGTATATCTTTCAAATTTCTGAGGTCAGGATTCTGATTTGAACCAGTGCTACAAGCCCACCCTGGCTCACAACCAGATATCCAAGAAGTAAGATTACAGTTCCTATTAGGATTTAGGTAACTCATTGAATTCATGAACATGTTACTAAAGTAGAATCTTATTTCTGCTGCAGTACATAACCTTTGTTGTACATCTCCTGTTGAATGACACCAGAGAAAAGAGTTCAGTTAGAAATTACACAAGAAAAAGATTGATGTGTAAGAAAAACCAGAAAGGCATAATGGGCAATGTCTACATTGCCTGTTGAATTTTTTTTTTCCAGATTTATATGTAGCATCATATTACTTTCATATGCACCTTCTACAGGAAAAGGTATATCTTTATTTCCATTTGTGTAAAGTATTTTTCTATTTAATATATCATTGACAACCTATGCAGGAAAGGACATCATTGCATCTACTACCTCTTAAATATGAAGAACTCCTTCCTACTCAAGGTAGAGGGGGAGGGATCACAATTTCAGTTGGAAGCCATTGTATGCCTAATTACAGCAACCAATGCAAAGGCTAACACGTTTTGTGATCTGTCAGCCTTTTATTTCACTTATAAAAATCAAAGTAATCCTATGATACTAATAATGTATTCTATGGTGAAGTATCTCACATACCCAAGTGACTTTAAAGAAATTTACAAACTATACTAGTAATCTTTCTTGCTGATGCATTAGAGTTTTAGGGCTTAGCCATCCACCAACAGCAATAAAAATCAAACCCTTCCCTTTTAGGCAGAATTCTGAAACCTTACCAATTTAGCAAATCCTAGTTGGCTTGTCCTGCTGATAATACTATGCATGAAAAGGTATATTCTGGTTTAGTAACTAACGAGATTCAGCACTAGAGACATCCATCCCTCATTAACTAAGTAACTAACTACAGTGAAATTTGGGACTCTATATCATCCCCACACAATTCTGAATTCTCAAAGGAACTTAGTTACACTGTTTAATGTACCTTTCAAGTTTCATAGACATTAAGAATAACATTAATATTAAGTTGCCATTGAGAATAACAGTAATATTAAGCAACCAACACAATAAACAACCTGAAAATCCTTTTAGTTCAGAAACAATAATAAAACAAAGAAAAATCTAAAGATAAGAATTTCCAAATCCTCTTTTGCTTCACGGATATTTTCCTTTTCTACGGAGAAATATTGCATAAACAAAGTACAATATTACCTCTGGTTCTGGCCACACAATTACTCAGGAATCTCAAATCCTGACTAAAATTAAATGCATTATTCCAATCCTTTTCCCTGCATTTCGGAAGAAAAACAAAACTTAGCTGGATAGCTAGTAATCAAGTTTAACTCCAACATAAAATTTTCTAAATTCTATTTTTTTTTTAAACAATTAAACTCTATTTATTACTTTTTAACTTACTTGTCTAAAATGCAGAAACTTGATTTCTCAGCCAGCTCGCTAGAGAAAATCAGGGAGGTCACATTGGCGAGACGGCGGTTGACTTCCTGAGTCATTAACTCCCGCACCGCCGGATTATCGATTTTTCCGGTATCGACGCCGCCGGAGTCGTCTACATTTTGACAAAGTGCGAGGTCCATTGCTAAGATCACGGCGACAATAATGCCGATGAATGCGGAGAATGACGGCGGCATCTTCCGCCGCCACAGCATTTCCTTCTTTGCTCCTCTTAGCTTTGAGCTTCATCCATAGCTTTAAGACTCTATTTAACATTTTTAACCGGAGAAGAAAGAGAATCATGGCGTGAATAAGAAAATATATTTCGCAAGAGTGGAGCTTGAAGTGGGACCTACTAAGACCAGAACCACGTCTTGGCCTTAACGTCGCCGGCGCGGAGACACAGAACCGGAATGGTCAATTTCTGTATGAATAATTATTAATTATTAGTCAATGATTTTTTATTTTTTACATATTGAATTGATTAATCTAACATAGTATTGATCGACTCATTTTGAACAGGAAAATGCTACATGTATTCTCATTTTGTACTCACATACACAAAATCTTGATGTAGACATTTATATTGAAACACACATGTCCGTCAAGAGTAAAATTTAGGGAGTACATGTAGTAGAACTCTTTTGAACATCTTTCCAAAAGACATTACAATATTTGATTTAAATAATATTTTTACATAGATATATACGCGTCTTACGCTCTTGGAGCAACCGCATGTTGACCATTTGACTTGACTTCAGATTCTTGAGATGGACACAATTCGGCCATGGGGCATAATGTTTAAGGTTGTTGGAATTTATTAGCAACATTTTTCATTTGGAGCTATTGTATCATTGTAGCATATATTGTAATCATCTGGAAGCCATTCGCATTGGGCGACTGATTTAATGTTCAATATTTGTATTTAAATAAGTAATTCAAAGTATATCAATGCAAAATTATATAGGAGAAGTTCATTATAATATATCAATACTGAAAAAGACAACATGCTTATTACTATGAATAGAAAAAAAGATAGTATCAGTACCAAAACATTGTTTTCCCCAAGTCCCGAACCTTGTACCCAAGAAAAATTGATTCATTTTTTTCTTTGAAACAAGAAAAATTGATTCATGATCCAGTCTATTACTCCTTATAGTAAAAGCATACAAGAATGAGTTACATCAGCTAGAGACCCTAAATGAATATTATTCATAACTGTTATGGCCTTATGGGTATAGACTTCAGAGGCACTGTGATGAATAACCATCACAGTTTGGAAGAGCAGTTGCTAATATATTTTGGCATAAACAACACAAGAATGACTCGCCTAGTCACATAACGTAAATTGAAAAAGAGCATATGATGTTTACGCCTCATCTACATAGTAACAAACTACATAAAATTCATCACCTGAGGCTGTAATATCAGGATTATGATGGCTCTTCAAATCAAGATTGAACAGAGTATTGTATGAATGTTACTCCGCACTAATGACGTCCAACAATTTCTTGGCTTCCTCACTCAGCTCTGCGTTCTCCATTTTAACGCGCCTACGCATGACTGTAGATGTTTTCCCAGCAGCTGCGTAAGTTCTTATCAATGATTCAAGTAGCTCGGCCCCCAAATGATCTTCAGATTTCTTCAAATTTCCCAGAACACGTTCTGCACCCTCAACATCTTTCTTTGTTTCAAAGTGTCTCATCAATTCCCCAACAATGACGGGTGATGGAACCCATTTCTGACCATCCCCTCTACCAGTTGTAATTGCTTTCTCAATACAATCGACTGCTGAAGAAATCTCCCCGTTTTTCAGATAATAATCCAGAAAAATTTCCCATGTTTTCGCATTAGGCTTAGCTCCACTCCTCTGTGCCCGTTTTCTGAGCTCTTTAGCCTTTTTCAATAATCCTTGTTTAGCATAAGCTCCTATGAGGGCATTTGCAACACGAATGTCATAAGTAGTTTGTCCTGACTCCCACTCCTTGAAACACTTCTCAGCACCTGGCATATCATTCAAGTTTACTAATACCTGAATCATATTGAGATAACTTATATTTGCAGTTTTGGGAAAAGCAAGCCTTAAGGAACGCCATATGCGATATACTTCAACCAAGTTTCCGATCCGTCCATACAGTGTGATGAGGAACTGGTAGGCAGTAAGATTTCTGGGAGTATTTTTCTTCTCCAACTCCTTAAGTGCCTTCTCAGCCTTGTCTGATAAACCAGCATCGGCATAAATCGATGCCAAATTGCTGTAAGTAGTCCAATCTTCAGCAACTCGGCCATCCCTTTTCATCTCATCAATAACCCTCTCAACACCAGATATATCACCTAGTGCAGCAAGAGCCCTCATCCAGATATTATAGGTGAAAGAATCCGGCATAATGTCACACTCCTTTATTTCTTGAATGATTGCTGGAATTTTTTCAGGCTGACCTGTTCTTGTATACAGAGTCATCAAGCTGTTGTAAGGCATAGAAGTTAACGTTAAATTCAGTTCTTTCATTTTCTCAATTAGGGCCTCTGCTTTCTCAGTCATTAATTCCTTGCAGTAACAGTTCAGAAGAGCACCATAAGTGAAGTGATTCTTTGATGTCTCTGGAAGATTTATAAAATAAGCCTCTGCTGCAGCAATGCCTTTACTTTTTGCAACAAGATCTACATGTATACCTTGATCACTGGTAGTCTTGTTCATGCCTCTTTTCTCCATTGTTTCCGATAACTGTATTAAGTAATATGCTAAATGTTAATGCAGAGTTCTTGTTCTGTGCTAAATGTTAACCAAAAGAATAGTCACATTAAAGTGCGGAAAACACTGCTTTATTACCAAGGGAAATACTAAGAAAAAATTAAAACACTTAGTTTGGATAATGATTAAAAAAACTGTACTCGTTTACAAACTAGAACCATACTGAATAAGAACAGAACAACCTTCAAATAAAATTCAAACATACGGAGTATTTATAATAGGTATAAAACTAATGTCAGGCTACGAGATAGAAAGTTATGAAGGAGAGCTGAAGATTCATTAAGCCAGATGACATATTTATGTAGCACGATGAAAAGTCATGCATGCAAGAGTTTCACAAGCACTGATGCATGTATGACTGGGATAAGTATACTGCATTATATTTTGTAATATCCCCACACATCAAGTGAACACTAAGAGGGCAGCAGGGCAGATAAAGCTCATAGTAGCTTGGGGATAATGAGGTCAATTATTGGATCCCAGCAAACTTCGAGAAGTTGAATGATGATATTGAACACTCTACCTTTACTATCCAAAGGAGCCAGCCTTTTAAAGTGTGGGTGTGTGTGTATGTGTATAGCTAGCATATCATCATCACTAAAGATCTCAAAAGTTGCAGTAGAAAATACCAAAGCACAGATGAAAAACTGCATTAATAGTAATCTATGGAGTAATTTTATCAGTACTAATGTAGCATCATAAAATCCAAATTTACCCTCTTCCCTACCCTGTGCATCTTCTATCATTCTTTCTTTCTGCCTGGCTTTTCCCTTTTACCCTGATTTCACCAAAACATAGATTTAAACTACCAAATTGCCAGAATCGGTATTAATTTTCTTCTTCCATTTAAGAAAAAGACAACTATTTTAGTATTACGGCCCATTTACTGCCTACAATTTCAAGTTTGCACAAAATCATTGGTTTCTAGAAAATGAAAACAAGGCAAATGCAAATGAACAAAGGTTTCAGCGTTTAAGGAATACGGAATTTGGGGAAATGACAGACCTTGATGGCCGGGGAATAGAGCTTGCGTTGCCGGAGGAGCTTGACTGAGCGGCCGACCTCCCATTTATACGCGCTTTTGTGAGATTTCAAGAACTCGTTCAGATTTTTCCCGGCACTGTTCTCAAGTCCTCCTTCCTTGAGTAGCTTCCTGTAAAGCGCTTCCTCCAAGTACTTCTTAGTAGACCTCTTCCCAATGTTCTTCGTCTTCGACGAGAATCTCTGTATGAACGACGCCATTTTGGTGAGCGTTTTCTGGTATTGCCTTGATTCGTTGGTTCAGTTTTGATCAGTGACTGAAAAACCCTAGTCAGCTGAGGACGAAGAGTGGAAGAATTGGGCTGCTACGGATGGGTGAGCCCAACTGGTTCTGATCATCATCTCTTTTTTAACCCAAGCAATTTATCCAATTAATACTGTTTGGGCCCATTAGGCCAAAGTTACGCCCATTTGGGTTTAGCATAACTTGATTGAATAATAATGAGTTAATAATACCCAATATAGGTCTCGACTATAGTGGTTTTATTCAATTGAGTTTTAATTGACTTTTTGTGCTCAAGTTATTACTCAACTTTGATTGTTTTATACAATTTAGTCTTTTGTTAAAAATTCTGTTAGTTGACGGTTAGAAATAGGGTCATAATGGTAATTTTGTAAAATCATAAAAGTCGATGACTAAATTAAACACAAAAAGTCATTTAGGACTAAATTGAGTAAAATTACTATAGTTAAGGATTATATTGGGTATTAACTCGAATAATAATATTGTTCACACCACCTCTAAAAAAAAACACCAACTTTAATTATAGAAAGTGACTGAGGTTTAAAATTTTAAACTAAATGTGGATGCAGGATGCGTAAATAAGATTGGGGTTTGAATTTGATAACATTATTGTTACTTTCTAACATTTAATAAGAAAGGGTTTAAGTTCAAGCCACATCTTAACCAACAAATCAATGATTTTGTAAATGATAGTTTCTCATCTATTAAATGATATCCGACTTGTGTCATTTACAAACTTGTTAGTGAGATGGTTTTGTTGTATTAGCTAGACTTACAATGCGAGTTTCACCATAACGCACATTCAAGTTTAATAACTGTGAACTTTTTCGTAAATCAAATATTGTTTCGTTGTCAAATTGTAAAACATGATGTGTCACCCCTTTATCTTATTTTCGCTAATGTTTTGACTCGTGATTTTCTTGATTAATGTAATTCGGTTTAAAAAAAAAAAAAAGAACAAACAAACAAACTTTGCTATCATGAACCTAAGAAAATTCCAACTCACTTATCTTACTTGAAAATATCATGGCAACCACAACCAAGTTGCATTGATATGGTAATTGGCTTAGTAATTAATTATCACAATGTTAGTTCAATTCAACTCTCCATGAAAGCTACCTATTGGCTTTATTTGTTTAGGCCGATCAGAGCCACAATGTGAGTTTCATTCATAATGCACTTTTCGATAGCGACTGCCATGCAAACTTTCTCATAAATTAACAAAAAAAAAATTATGAAAAAAATGTTACACAAGTTATTCTATGTTAGTACCATAAATTTAAGAAAAAAGTACAATTTTAATCAACGAGTTTTAAAATAACAGCGAACTTAATTTTTATGTTATAAGTGTCACTTTTGGTCAATGAGTTGTAAAAGATAATATATTTAAAAGTTACAATTAAACTTATTAACATGTCATATTCGTGCATCGGAGCGCAAAAAAAAAAAAAAAAACAATAGAAATTATGCGTAAAGAAGATTGGGGTTTGAGTTCGATGACATTATTGTTACTTTCCAACATTTAATAAGAAAGGGTTCAAGTTCGAGTCTCATCTTAATCAATAAATAATTTTGCAAATGATAGTTTTTCATCTGTTAAATGATATGCGATTTGTAGCGCACATTCAAGTAATAATTGTGGACTTTTCCATAAATCAAAAATTGTTTCGTTGTCAAATTGTAAAATGTGGTGTCACTCTTTTATCTTGTTATTGCTGATGTTTTGACTCGTGCTTTCTTGATTAATGTAAGAGTTTTATTACATGTACTCCCATATTTTACTCCCTCACTTGTACTCCATAATATGGCAAATAAAGATTTGCTATTTTCATCATGTGGGTCCCAGGGAACATGTCTACATCAAGAATTTGTGAGAGGAAGTAAAAGTTTAGAGTAAAAAAATGGAAGTGCATGTAGTATTTTTCTTAATTTAATTCGGTTTAAAAAAACAAATAAATAAAAACTTTGCAATCATGAACCTAAGAAAATTTGCCTCCAACATGACAAATTGACAATATGCCTAATTATTGTTTCAATTAGAAGTAGGTAGCTAGTAGGAAACCCCAAAAAAGAACTCTAAACACACTCTACACCCACCCTCCTCATCTAAGTAACACCTATGGAAAATGGAGTAGCGTAGCAAATAATATAAAATTCACAATAGATAACATTACAGGCCATGTCATTTATTAATCTACTAGTATATATTCTTTATGGGCGATGTACAAATATAAGTAGTCCATATTAAAATTTAAGTTTTATTTGAATTTTAGATATTTATATTATTGTAAAATAATAATAATAATAATAATAATAATAATAATAATAATAATAATAATAATAATAATAATGTAAACCATTTTTTAAATATAAATCTGATATTTATATTTTAGAAAAATAAATGACATATATATAACTCCATTAGATAATGTGTATATTATTATTGAAGAACAAAAAGAAAAGAAAATAAATGGTGGATGCATGTGCATAGTAAGATTGTAAGAATAGTGAAAAAGATAACAAAAGTTATAACAGTAGGAATATGTTTGTCCAAAATATTGTATACTATAACTTTTAATTTATAGTATAATGTAACAAAAACAGACATAAATGAAGATATAACCTCTCTTCACACTTATTAGTTTTTAGATTAGATATACTTCTTGGTAGCAAAACTTGAAAGCTATATATCAATCATATAAGTATTGGATTTATAAGGACCACAGAAAATGTAAAAGTGATGAACCTCCCAATGGTAGCATTGATGGAGACCTTCCTTGTCAACTGGCTGCTACCCTTTTTATCATTTCACAAATTTTTTCAGTTCTGACTTAGCTTATTTTGAAATAAAGAAAATTCCAACTCACTTATCTTACTTGAAAATATCATGGCAACCACAACCAACTTGATAAGGTAATTGCCAATTGGCTTAGTAATTAATTATGACAATATTACAAGTTCAACTCCTCATGAAAACTGTCTAATGGCTATATTAGTTTAGGCCGGTCAGGGTCATAATGGGGGTGTTTGATAAATAACCTTTAGATGATTAAGTTAGTGGGTTTGATTAGTTGATAACATTAGATGATTGTAGAAAAGTGTTTGGTAAATTAGTTGTTAGTTGATAGATAATTACATACAAAATGCATTTCTCAAAAAGCTGATTGAAATTAAAAAACTACTTTTAACAGCTTTTTGAATTTTAGCATTTCGGAGCAATAAGTTGTTACAAAAAACTAATTAAATTAAACACCCATATTGATGGTTTAACCAAGGCAAACAGCTAATAGTAGTCAAATAAGTTAAAATTGGGTGAAAAGCTAACTATGTTACCAAATAGGGCCAACGTGAGTTTCGCTCATAATGTACTTTTCGATAGCGACTGCGAGCTTTCTCATAAAACAAAATAAAAATAAAAACTATGAAAAAAGGCCAAAAGTTCACACACATTATTCTATGTTAATACCATAAATTTAAGAAAAAAGTACAAGTTTAATCAACGAGATGTAAAATAATAGCGAACTTAATTTTTATGTTATAAGTGCCACTTTCGGTCAATGAGTTGTAAAAGATATTACATTTAAACGTTATAATTGAACTTATTAATATGTCATTTTCGTGTATCGGAACACAAAAAATAATCACTAACATTCAATAACCGATCACTAAAGTTCTAACGAAACTCTTCTAACTCTGACAATCGACGATCGGCCGCCTTCATCATTGAAAAAGACAACTAGCAAGTTACCTTGTTCAATTCACTAGAAAAGGCAACCAACATGTCATTTTTTCACCGAAGAAGGTGACCAAAGACCTACTAGTGGCAAATTATTGTGTGACCATGATTCACACAACTCTGTGGATCATGGTCCAAAACGACGTCGTTGAATTTTATGAGTTAGAACAATATACATTATGAGTTAGAGTACATTATGTGTTAGAATAATGTATATTATGTGTTAAAATAATGTACTTTATGTGTTAGAATAATAAAATTTATGGGATAAGATAATATTATGAGTTAGATGTATATTATGTTTTAGAATATTGTATATTATATTTTAGAATAATGTACATTATGAGTTATAAAAATATATATTGTAATGGGTCGCATGAAAATAGTTACGTGAAACGATGTCATTTTTTTACTGTGATTACGTAATTGTGTGGACTATGGTTCGCGCAATAACTATTACACGTTGGTCGCTTTTTAATTTAAATTTCATTTTACGTATATTTCTTCTCATAAACTAAATGGAATGTCTCATTTTAAGTATTGTTTGTTGATACTTTTTATAAATAACATCATTTGATGTGGTCTAATGGTACCCGGGTTGGACTTTCATTTGGAAGATTATGAGTTCGAGCCTCAGTGGAGGTGTTATTAGTTCTTTGTGTGTTTCAGTAGGTTGAGAAAGTATATGAACAGATACTACAATAAAAAAAACATCATTTGATGTATTGACATATATATAGTAATATCGTGTGTCTCTGTCTGTGGGTGTCAGACTACGTGACTCATTTTGGTGGATATGGAAAGATATATTTACAGGAGCCTACATATAAAAAATAAAAAACCTATCAATATCTGTTAGAATTTGGGAGTAAATTTAATAGAGTATAATTTGATAGGACATGTAGTAGAACTCCTGCAAAAATACTTCTTAAACTTCAAAAATATACTTCCAACTTGTACTCTCATGCATTAAATGTTTAAATTTTATTAGAAGAAGAAAAAAATAATGGATACAAATCATGACCATCTTATATTAAACAATATACCGCATATTAAAGAGAAAAAAAAAAAAAAAAAAAAGAGCATAGAATGTAAGTACATATAAAATTACGTGTAGTACTCGCATGAACAATTCAGTTGGTCATGCAATAAAGTTTGAGAAGAATTACTAGTAATGTATGTCGGTTGATGATGATAATTGAAGGTTTTTGAGACACATTCAATGCTGTCTACCATAGGAGGCAAGATGGGTAGACCCCTCTGGGGGAAAGTTGAAAATAATAATAATTTAAATTAAAAAGGACCAACTATACGTTACTTCACTAATTTTAATG